AGTTGGTAGGGTAATTTTGTGTGTTAGGTGTCCTATATGGCACAGTTGATAGGCCTCCCCAGTTACCTGTGGTGGATACTCTTGGCTGTGTGCACAGTGTTGTAGTTAAGCCTTGACTATTGTTGGTATCACTGGGAGGAATTGACCTCTAAGCCAATTGGCTGTGAGGATCAGCTGTGTCTACGATGAGAGAACTTCTGTGCTGGCAACACCCTTATGAAACAAGATTTGCTTCAGTGGGGCCTTGGTGCTCATTGAGTCTGCTCCCTGAGTGTGCCCTTTATGGATCTGAGGAGTTGTAATCTGGATGGTCCTACTCTGACCCCTGGGTACACTGGCTCTTGGATCGCCAACGAAATGCTAATTTAGCCTTTGCCTGTGGCCACCCAGCAGGAGCTACAGAGAGATCTGCAGATTCCTCTTCTTTGTTTGGGTTTTGAAGGTGCCCAGATGAGACCCAGCTGTGAAGCAATGCAAGCATCTGTGGGATCTTTGGCCTTCTTTTGGATGATCTGGGTCTCTCTGACTCAGAGATGTATAAGATAGCTGCAGTTTGATATGTAAATTTATATTTCAAAGGATGAGGCCATTCATATGCAAAAGCCTCTGCTCACAGCTTGGATAAGGCAGAGTCTCAGAGCAGAGCAAACATTAATGGCTAAGGGCCTTCCCTAAGAGGCTCTTGGGTCTCACTGTCCCACAGTAATTGCTACAAGCACCTCTGAGAGAAAGCAGCCCTCGAGTTCCACCTGCTTCCAGACAGTCCAGTTTCTCCCCATATGAGTCTGGGTCCCCAGAGTCATGCCTGGAACTGGAGTTCAGAACAGTCGGGAGCTAGTGTCTCCCTTGGCTTGAAAAAGCCAGCCGTGTACTCAGTTGCCAGCTATCTCCGTGCACATGCCTCCATACCTCTACCTTCCACAACTCCTCTGAGTCTGTGTGCTTTTCTTTTTCCTTCTAGTTGTAGAATTTCCACTCAGCCAGTCTTCCTGTGATTCTGGATGATGTCCGTTTTGTGTTTTAGTTGTAGTTTTGAAGTTGTTGTGTGAGGCAGCAAGTTCAAGTGTTTACCTATGCCATCATCTTTGTTTCTCCTGTGCATTAGCCCTTTAATAGGGTGCCTAAATTTCTAGCCATCACTCTCTGGCATATAACAACTGTGCTGCTTTTCACAGCCAGTTTGGTGATCTCTGATGGGAGTGGGGGCAGCTTAGGTATTAGACCACAGAGTTCTCAGTGACAATCCCCCACAGCTGAGATATCTCTCTAGAACTTAAGTTGCTATCTGTGAGTACCCAGCCAGCCCTTTTCTGCTTCCACCCCTTCTACCAGTTTCTATGTGGCCTCCCCTTTCAGTCCTCAAATATGAAGGTTCTCTCAAATGAGTCTTCCATTGGTTATTCAGGAATATTTCCTGTATTTTAGTTGTAATCCAAGTTTGTTCCTAGGAGTGTGTCCGTGCAGTATCCACTCACTCTGCCACCATTTAAAATCTCCTCCCAGAGTATTTTGAGACAATCCTCAATAACAATAGTTACTTCATTGTGTAACTTTAAATGCTGAAGGTCTTAATTACAGACATAGTCACCATACCTCAGGGACATTGGTTGGCAGAATTCCAAGATGACTTACCAGATTTCTGACTCCTTGTGTACACACATCTCCCACCGGTTAATATATCAAACACTCATCTAGGTGTTGCTATGAGGGATTTTGCAAGTGTAATTCAGGTCCTAAATAATTTGTTCGGGAAATAGATTATCCCCCATTGGTCAAGCCTCACAGGTGAACCCTTACATAGGATCGACTTTTCCTGCTGAGAGAAATTTAAATAATGAGAGGAAGGTTCTCCCTTGCTGGCTTTGAAGATGGAGGGAGCCACATAGCATACCAAAGAATTAATAGCAACTCAGGAATGGCCCCTAGCCAACAGATAGAAAGAAAATGGGCACCTCAGTCTTTCAATTTCTGGAACTGCATTCTATTAACTGCATTCTTCATGGCATTGGAAAGAGCTGTGAGCTCCGTTTGAGAATACAGCTGATACATTTTTTGCAGTTTTGTGATATTTCTGACAGAGGAACCCAGCTACTCCCTGCTCAGATTTCTGACCTACAGAACTTTGAGATACCGTTTATAGTTTGAAGTTGTTAAATTTGTGATAGTTTTTTTTTTTTTTTTAAAGGAATATACACACTGAAAAGTTTTTATTTGCAGCTTCTGTCTTTTTGTTGCTGTTTTGTCCCTGTAATTTGTCATTTAAGACCTACTCTCTTGGCTACTTTCATTTATCTTATACACTATTATCAACTATTAATGTCCATTCTGTATATGACATGCCCTGGGTTTACTTATTTTATAACTGAAAGTTTGTATCTTTTGGCCACCTTCACCCATTTCGCGCACCTTGCCTCTGGTAAGCACCATTTTCTTCTGTGTAGTTGTGCATTCATTTTCATATATAGTTTTTCTTTTAAAGTTTTCACATGTGATACCATACAGTATTTGTCTTTCTGCATGTGTTGAAAACTTTATATGGTAATACCACTGCTTGAAAATGGCCACTTACTTTATTTAGCATAATGCCCTTTTTCAGGTTAGTGGTTTTATTTTTCTTTAGATAATTACCCAGTAATGTAATTGCTAATAATACTGTCATTTTATTTTTAATATTTTGAAGAAATTTTATACTGTCTTTCATAGTGGCTCTGCTAATTTATATTCCCTAATATTCATCCACTGTTGAATAATCTAAGGATAATCAGGTATTTAACTTCTAAATTTAGGAAAAGAGAGATCGAAAAGGAATAAGGCAAACCCATAACTTTTTCCTCCTCTCTATGTTATGATCCTCTTATTTTAGTATGAGTTTTCTTTTCCCATTACCAATTGTATCCCATTTCAATGCCATGCAGTCTTATTGAACATTACAAAAATGATTTAAGGATTTTCAATGTATATTTCAAGAAACAAAATGCTTACTACTGAACCTGATACACAACAGTGTGATCCATGCCATTCATACACTTATATTCTGAATCTAAATAAACTTTCTGTTGAAACACCACTAATTGAATAATAGATCAACCGAAGGACTTGTATACATGCATATAAGTACAACCAATAGACATAAAACTCTGGGGAGGGAGGGTATGTATGGGAGGGAGGGAGGGGGGCAAAAAAATCAAAATAAATAAATAAACTAAAAAGAAAAAAGAAAAAGAAACATTGACCAGCTGCCTCCTGCACACCCCCAACTGGGGATGTGCCTGCAACCAATGTACATGCCCTTGACCGTAATCGAACCCGGGACCCTTCAGTCGCCGGACCGACGCTCTATCCACTGAGCCAAACCGGTTTCGGCACAAAGAACATTTTTACAAAATACCTTAATTTAAAAAAAAATGTGTAGATGTTAGAAAAATTTAGGAAAATACAAATAAGAAAATCTTAAAAACTTATATATCTGCTCCAAAGGTAATTTTTAAAGTATTTTGGCAAACATGGTTTTGGTTATTATTTACTTAAAATATCTTTTTCCACCTTTTCAATCTTAGCTTATCTATATTCTTAAAGTTAATATGAGTCTATTGTAAGCAGAAAAAAAAAGAAAAAAGAAAATTACCTCAAAAAATAGGTCAAGGTATTTGTGTACATCAGGTATTTCCTACCACAATGTGAAGAATCCATCTCAGACCTCACTCATAGTGCAAGAAACCAGATGTGGCACTGGATCACCCAATGACTGCCCAATGGTACTAAATTCTGCTTAGCAATGAAATTTATGTTAATATTAGAGACCCAGTGCACAAAATCGTGCATGGGTGGGGTCAATTCAGCCCGCCCTATCAGGCCTGGTGGCAGAGGGCATGGGAGGTTGGCTGGCCCTGCCCCTGATTGGGTTAGGCGTGGGGCCAATTGCGGACTGGGCTGGCCAGGGGGAGGGGTCAGGGGACTAAATTCTGTTTAGCAATGAAATTTATATAATATGCTATCTCCATCTGCTCTTTCCCCTCCTATTAAGTTGTTCCGTATGAACTGGAGAGTATCTCACCCTCTTTTATATTGATAACTTTTCCTACAATCTATAATTGCATGGGCAAGCGCAGTGTCTTCTTTGCCTAAACATTCCCCGGGTGAGCATGAAGAATTCCAAAAAGCTCGTGCTCAATTACTGATTGTGTAAAATAAAAGCCATGAATAAAGAGGTCTGATTCACTACGATTTATATTCTCAAACCATCTTAAAAAACACAAGCAAATCTAGGTTATATATTTTAGACATTTACAAAACAAAGCACTAAATGTAGTAAGAGAAGTGACCAGTTTCATGGATAAACCACATTTTCTTTATTCCTTGGTTGACAGACAGATACTTAAGTTTGCCTCCATGTCTTGGCTGAAACAGATAATGCTGAATACTGGATAGGGGACATAGTCAATAACATTGTAATAACTACTTATAATTCAGTTACGAGAGTGGGCACATAGTAAGTAATATAAATAATATGTCTAATCACTATGTTGTAACATCTGACACTAATATAATACTGTTTTAAAGTATAATTGAACAAAAAAATAAAACACAAGTGCCCAATTTTCACTTTATATTTCTATCTACCTACCTTATCTATTATCTACCCATCTATCTATCTATTGTTACCACCTACTTTTGTGTAAAGTTATTGCACATATAAAATATATTCCTATCCTAAAGTTATGTTATCATGTTCTGGATCACAAATAAAGTTTGAAGAATTTTCAATTTCTATTTAAAAAACAAAATTCTTACCACTAACCTATAAAACGGTAATTTGCAATCCATGTTATTCATAGACTTATGTACTAATATTCTGGATCTAAATAAACATTCTGTCTAAAAGAACACCACTTGAAAATGTGAAAATAAAACACACAAAGGTAGGCCAACAAGATATTTTGCACATTAGGAAACTGCTTATCAGGCCTTTCCATCCAAAAACTGAAGATGCCACATCGAGTTCACTCAGGCTGTGGGTAGTGCTTGGACGTGTTCTTGGAGCGCCTACTGGCCTTGGAAGGAGTGGCAGCCTTGAGTATAGCTTGGGCCCTCTCTTCCTCATCTCTCAAAGCCTCTACATATTGGATTGCGAAGGCACTGGGCCTGGTATCATTGAGCTTGGCCAAAAACTCCAGGACTTTCATCTTGCTGGTCTCGGCATGGGCTCTTGGACCCCACAGGAACTCGTAGCGTGGAGGATCACTGTTGGGCACCGGCTGGTACACCAGGTATTTTTCCTGCACCAAATCTTGGGTGATAAGCTTCCTGGGCTCCCCAAAAATGAAGTGAGTCTTTCCATCATAGACACTCATCATACTCAGGAATTCCCAGATCTCCTCCTCAGAGGTGCGGTTGCCATTCAAGAAGATCACAGCCAGGAGAGGCATCAGAATCCCTCTGGTAGGAAATCTGAAGCCACGGCCCAGGCTCTCATCGCTGGTGTTACCTTGACTATCTACAAGAGTGTAGTAATTACTGTTGGGCTTGACTTCTTTCAACTCTAGGCCATGGACCAGATCCATGTGCTCAGAGACTTTCTTGAGGATCTCAGGGAAGTCCTTTCTGTACCACTTGTGGATGATCTTCAGCATGTCTCCCTTTTTAATGGGCTCATTCATTTTATATTGACACAGCAGGTACTCTACCAACAGAGTTGCCTTCTTACTTATAAGATCTAGGCCAGAGCTCTCAGTGGAGGTTGAGGCCTGGGAGGCTTTTTTACTTTTCTGAACCTGGCCTTTGGCTTTTACAGCAGGTCCTTCACCTGAAGCACCTGCAGCAGCACTGGTGGTGACTGGGGTCTCCTGAGGTGCCTGGAGAATGCCAGCACCAGTGGAGGTTGAGGACTGGGAGGCTTTTTTACTTTTCTGAACTTGGCCTTTGGCTTTTACAGCAGACCCATAACCTGAAGCACCTGCAGTGGCACTGGTGGTGGCTGGGGCACTCTGAAGTGCCTGGGGAATGCCATCACCAGTGGAGGTTGAGACCTGGGAGGCTTTTTTACTTTTCTGAACCTTGCCTTTGGCTTTTACAGCAGGTCCTTCACCTGAAGCACCTGCAGCAGCACTGGTGGTGACTGGGGTCTCCTGAGGTGCCTGGAGAATGCCAGCACCAGTGGAGGTTGAGACCTGGGAGGCTTTTTTACTTTTCTGAACCTTGCCTTTGGCTTTTACAGCAGATCCTTCACCTGAAGCACCTGCAGCAGCACTGGTGGTGGCTGGGGCATCCTGAGGTGCCTGGAGAGGGCCAGCACCAGTGGAGGTTGAGGGACCATCCCCAAAAACGGAAGAGGAGGAGCAAGAGGCCTCTCCTTCCTCTCTTGCAGGGGCCTGAGCACTCTTAACACCTGGGTCCTCAGCTTTGTTTTGGCGGCGTTTCTCCCGAGCACGGAGCTTGCTCTTATGACCACGAGGCATGATGGCTGATGATCAGGACAGCAGACAGTAGTATGAGCAAATGGTCAGGTGTTTTGGGCACCTGAGGGATGGAGAAAGAGATGATGTGATCACCTTCAACATGAAGATTCTACCTTGCCTTTATTGAAGGCTACCTCTGCAGGCTTCCTTGAAGGCACTACTCTAGGTCCCAACTAGTCTCCTGTTCTGTGTCCTAAGAATCCTACAGAACAACCAGAGAGACTTTAGAGTGAGTTGCATGTTACATCGTACCAGCCCTACATGGAAGTTACTCAGGTGACAGTAGGTAATGCCAGTGCAATACTCTTGGATCTGGAATGTGGGAGTCCTCTTGGTTTATTTTCAATATTATCATGTCCCCTCTAGTCAGAGCCTGGGAATCCTCTCTTCTGGCACTCCCTGGGACCCAGGAAAAAGAACTGGAGGGGAGTCTCAGTCCCCCTCCCTATAAGGAGCCACCCAGTGCTGAGAGCTTATGGGGTCATTTGGATCCCCAGTGGCCAGTCAAGCTCCTCACCTTGGCTTCTTTTAAGGCTTGATACTGCTCCCCTTGGCTCCTACTAAGGCTTAACACTGCTTCCCTAACTTGTGAATGGAACTTCAGACTAAGGATCTCACCTCCCTTAAACTTGATATAAAGAAGTGAGGGGGGATGCTCAAGCTGACAGCCTTTCCCCGAGATTCCCTGAGCTGTTAACAAAGGATTTAAATGATACTTTGATGGCCCATTTGTTTATGTTTCATTGGCTTCTCCTTTGCTTGGTTTTACCTCATAGTAAGAGCCAAACTACCTGAGCTCCAATAAAAGGAAACGAAGTTGACCTTATGTGACTAAACATGGTCTCCCAAGTATGGAGGCTGTGGCAAGCAGCTTGAGGTCCTATGGTAGGTAGTTCCACACAGGACCCAATTCTGAGGTCTCAATGGACTCATGCTAAAGTCACAATTTCTGGGAACACTCCCCTCAGACCAAGGCATTAACATCCCTGTTACCCCTGAGTGAGGGCTGATGGGCACTCCTGCCTGGCATCTATCTTTGCGGTGTGCTAATGTAGTGCTGAAAATAGACAGGATTCTTGTGTTCATTGGTGTTGTTAATCCTCAATGGAGGACAGTTTTTTCCATTGATTTATTTTAGAGAGTGGGAGGGAGGAATGGAAAGGAGAGGGAGAGGAGGAGGGGGAGGCAAAGAGGGAGAGGGAGAGGGGGAGAAGGAAGGAGAGGGGGAGGAGAGAGGGAGGGAGAGGGGGAGGGGGAGAATAAGAGAAGGAGGGAGAGAGAGAGAGGGAGAGAGAGAGAAAGAGAGGGGGAGAGAGGAAGAGGGGGAGGGATAGAAGGAGAGAGGAAGAGAGAGGGAGAGAAAGGGAGAGAGAGATAGAGAAAGGGAGAAAGAGGGGAAGGGGAGGAAGGAGGAAGGGAGGGAGGGAGGGAGGAAGAGAGAGAGAGGGGGAGGATATTGATGTGGGAGCAACACATCAATTGATTGCCTTCTGCATGAACCAAACTGGCCAAGAAATCCACCTTCCACCTAGGTACCTGCCCATGACCTATGCCAACTCCAGGACAGGCCTACCATCTAACCAGGGGGCACACTGGCTAAGGCAGGGAGGATTCCTGGTGACCCCACTGGTACCGGGGCATTCACACAGCCCTCAGTGGTCTGTCCCTGAAACCTGGCAGAACACGAAATCCTCCCTCCGCTGACATGCAGCTGCCCCTTTGACCTGACCAGTCAACTCGCTGATGGGGCCCGGGAGGAAGTGAGTGCAAACCAACATGGCGACAGGCCCTAGCCCCCCAGGGGTGCCTCCCGCAGCCTCCCTCCGTGTGACACCCCGGATTCCTGGCAGAGACTGGTTCCTCTCTGTGCCCTCCTCCAACAAACCGAGGCCTGGCCCGTGTGAGACGCCACCTGCGGAACAAGGGCACCGTGGCCCGCCAGCTCTGCTCCGGCCGCCATGATAGTTTGGCGGGGTGACCGCAGGAGGGGAGGCGGGGGCGCTCTTTATTTCCTCGGCGGGGCGCTCCCGGAGCTGAGTGCAGGGCCTGCTGCCCCACGGGGCCCTTTCCCGGAGAGAGGGCTGCTCTGACCCCCGGCCTCCATCTTGAATCCCTTTGGGGCCTAGGATCGGCCTACTCCCAGCAAGGCCTCCCCGCGCCCCCGCCGCCTCCAACGCCTCGAGGCCGCATTCGGTCTCAGGGCTCACTGCAGGGAAGGGATTGGGGATCCACGCTCGATTGGGGGGTACGTGGCTTGTGTGGTTAGCACATAGGCCCTCACCTTCACTCGAAGCCAGTCCTGCAAAGCCCTCAGGCAGCCGCCACACCCGCGCACCTGCTGGAATGGCCTCGAAGCCCCAGGGGAAGTTGGTGGGGGCCTTTTCCGGGGCAGGGTTGTCCATGGCACGCCTGATGCCGGGAACCTGAGGGCTTAGGGTCCCTGGGCCCCAAGTCCTCACTCAGCCTCCCCACTTTTGTGTCTGCAGAGCTTGGACTCATCTTTCTATTGAAGCGAATGGTCCTGACCCCCACAAAGTCTCCCTCCCCGGAGACTCATGGAGGCAGGCAGTGAGGACGCCCTGCCTCTGAAGGGGGGGGTGTGTGTGTGCCTGGGCCTCATGGTCTGGAAGGGGGCGGGGCTGTGGGAGCCTCCATTCATGATAGATTTGCTCTCCCTTAGTACCGAGTGTCCTAGCTTTGGGGCTGTTTGTGATGTGCAAGCCTCCTGTCTCTGCACATCTGGCCTTGGATCCCTCCCTGATATCTCAGGGGTGTGATGTGTGGGCTCCTCAGTGGTAGCGCTTCTGGGTTTCCCAGGACTAAAATTAGTCCCGGACTCTACGTGGCTCCCTCAACTCTTGTAAAACTCAGGATCCTCACGTCTTCACACTTGATTCTTAAATCCCAGTCCCTCTCTCTGCAAAATGGACATCACTCACATTAGATGGAAGCTCTAACCTCCCTGAGACTTCCCAGATTCTAATCAGTCCGACATCTGTGCCTGGGGTTACAAACTTTAAAAAAACGCCGCTTGAAAATGATGACTTATTTCATTTAACATGGCATATGGTTCTTCACATGCTGTTACAAATGGCAGGATGTCTTTCTATTTTATGGCTGAATAGCAGTGTGTGTGTGTGTGTGTGTGTGTGTGTATGTATGTGTTCCATTTTCACTTTCAACTCATTAATTAAAGAATATGAAGGGTTTTTTCCCCCCATGTCCTCACTACTGTAAATAATGTTACAGTGAACATGGGGACACAATTATTTTTTCATGCTAGTGTAAGGTGACCAGACACTCCTATTTTTAACAATTTGTCCCGTGGCATTTTAAAAGTCCAAAATATTTAAAAGAATATTTCCAAAAATCAGGATTTTAAAACTCTGCAGGACGCAGGACTAATTGTTAAAAATCGGGACTGTCCCGCCAAAAGCGGGACATCTGGTCACCTTATGCTAGTGGCTTCATTTTCTTTAGATAAATAGCCAGTAGTGGGATTGCTGGATAATATGGTCATGTTATTTTAATTTTTGAGGTATCTCTATTCTATCTTCACTTTGGCCACACAAATTTCCATTCCCCTAAACTCACCTATTCTTGAATAATCTAAGCACATCCAGATACATAACTTTTAAATTTAGAACAAAAAAGTCAGCATGGAGTAAGGCAAACCCATAATTGAACACCTTTTACTTTTTTCCCCCTCTCTATGTTGCAATACCATCTATTTTAGCATGGCTCTTTCTTTTCCCATTAACAAGGATATCCTCCTTCTAATGCCATGTGGTTGTGTTCAGGATCATAAAAGTGATCTGAATATTTTCAATGTGTACATTTATTTCTAGAAACAAAACCCCTTCTTAAACCTGGCACATAACATTGTGTGATCCATGCCATTCATACACTTATATTCTGAATCTAAATAAATTTTCTGTTGAAACACCACTAATTGAAAATTAGCTCAAAAATATGTTAACAAGGTATTTATGTTCATCAGGAATACTGGTCAACAGACATTTCCAACCACAATGTGAAGAATCCACTTCAGACCTCATTCGGGTTGAGAGAAGCGACTGGATGCAGTCCTGGATGGCACACTGCCTCTCCAATGGGACTAAATTTTATCAATGAAAACTACACACTATGCTATGTCCACCCCCTCTTTCCTTTCCATTTGTTCCTTATGAAATGGAGAGTATCTCACCCTCTTTGGTAACTATAGCTTCTCCTACAATCTATAATTGTATGGGCAGGGGCAGGGCCTTCTTTGCCTAAACATTCCTACTGTAACCATGAAGAATTCCAAGGAGCTGATGCTCAATTAATGATCGTATCAGGTTAAATAAAAGCCATGAAACCAGAGGTCTGTTGCACTAAGATTTATATTCTCAAACCTTATAAAAAAAAAACATAAGCAAGTACATATGTGCTTTTAAAATCTACAAAACGAAAGACTAAATGTGGTAAAGCAAGCAAGAAGTGATCAGTTTATATATGTCCCACATCTTTTTTATCCATTCACCTATATTTCCATGTCTTGGCTGTGACAGGAAATGCTGGGTACAGCATAAGTAATGTAGTCAAGAACAAAGTAATAACTATATATGGTTCAGATGAGTACTAGATTTCTGGAGATGTGTATATAGTATGTTATATAAATGTCCAAACACTATGTTGTACACCTGAAACTAATGTTATATTGTATGCTAACTGTAATTTAAAATATTTTAAAACAGAAGCAGACACATTTTATTCTATCATCTACCTATCATCTATCTACCTACCTATCTACCTACCTACCTATCATTATCTATCTACTGTTCCCCACCTCCCTCCCTACCTACCTACTTACCTATCATTATCTAGCTACTGTTCCCCACTATTTTAAAGTTCTTTCACATTTTAAAAGATATTCCTATTCTAAAGCCATGTTATCCTGTTCTGGATCACAAAAGTGATAGAAGGATTTCCAATTTATAATCCAAAAACAAAATTCTTCCTCCTAACCTAATGATTAGCAATAAGTGTGCGATACATGTCATACATACACTTACAGACTTGTATTCTGGTTCTAAATAACATTCAGCCTAAAAGAATAACATTTGAAAATGCAAACAGGGGAAAGCCACAAAAGATAAGCCAACGAGATATTTTGCACATTAGAAAACTGCTTAACAGGCCTTTCCAACTAAAAAGCTGGCAAGACTCCACCTCGAGTTCACTCAGGTGAAGTTAGTGGCCGGATGTGGCCCCGGGGCTTCCACTGGCCTCGGGAGGAGTGGCAGCCCTGGATTCAGCTTGGGCTCTGGCTTGGACTCTCTCTTCTTCTTCTTTCCAAGCCCTTTCAAAATGAGATGCCAAGGTAGTGCGGATATTATTATTGAGCAGGGAGAAAAACTCGAGGATTTTCTTCTTGCTGGTCTCAGCATGGGCTCGTGGACCCCACAGGAACTCATAGCGTGGAGGATCAGTGTCGGGCACCAGCTGGTACACCAGGTATTTTTCTCGCACTAAATCTTGGGTGAGAAGCTTCCTGGGCTCCCCAAAAATGAAGTGAGTCTTTCCATCGTAGACACTCATCATATTCAGGAATTCCCAGATCTCTTCCTCAGAGGCACAGTTGTCATTCAGCAAGATAAAACCCAGGACAGGCATCAGAATCCCTTTGGTGGGAAATCTGAAGCCCCTGCTCCGACTCGCATCTTCACTGTCGACAAGAGTGTAGTAGTTACCGTTGGGCTTGACTTCTTTCAATTCCAGGCCGAAGAACCGATCCATGCGCTCAGAGGCTCTCCCGAGAATCTCAGTGAAGTCCTTCCTGAACCACTTGTGGATGATCTTCATCATGTCTCCCTTTTTAATGGGCTCCTTCTTTTTATGTTGACACAGCATGTAATGAACTAAGAGATTTGCCTTCCGGGTTAGAAGATCTGGGCCAGAGCTCTCAGTGGAGGCTGAGGCCTGGGAGGCTTTTTTACTTTTCTGAACCTGGCCTCTGGCTTTTACAGCAGGTCCTTCACCTGAAGCACCTGCATCGGCACTGGTGGTGGCCTGGAGAATGCCAGCAACAGTGGAGGTTGAGGGACCATCCCCAAAAATGGAAGAGAAAGAGAAAGCATCTCCTTCCTCTCCTGAAGGGGCCTGAGCACTTATATCACCTTGGTTCTCAGCTCTGTTTTGGCGGTGTTTCCCCCGAGAATGGCGCTTACTCTTATGACCACGAGGCATGATGGCTGTTGTTCAGTTCAGCAGACAGTAGCGTTGGTGAATGGACAGCTGCTTTGGGCACCTGAGGAATGGAGAAAGAGTTTATGTGAGCACCTTCAACAGGTTGATTCCCCCTGGCTTTTTTGAATAGCCTGACGGGTATTATTGTAGGATCCCACAAGGCTTCTGTTCTAAATTCTGAAACACAAATTAGAAGGAATATATGCATCCCTATATTCATAGCTACTTATAAAAGCTAAGTTCTGAAAATGACCCGAGCGCCCATCAGTAGGTACATGGATAATAAAGCTCTGGTATATTTACACAATAGAATGCCATGCAGCTGTAAGAAAGAAGCATGTATTACCCACTGGGACAGCATGGAAGGACCTGGAGAGTATTATGCCAAGTGAAGTAAGTCAGTTAGAGAAAGACAAGTATCACATGATCTCACTTATATGTAGAATCTAATGAAAAAAATAAACTGATGAATAAAATAGATCTAGACACATGTAAGCATAGAACACATTGAGGAAGCTCAGAGGGAAGGATGCAGGCTGTGAGGGTGGGGAGCGATTAACTAAGGAACTCATAAGACACAGACAATAGTGAGGTGAAGGCCTTGGGGTGGGTGGGTGCAGGGTGGAGAGGGTCAACAGGGGAAATAAAGTGGGACATCAGTAACACTTTCAACAACAAAGACATATATTTTAAAAAGAATCACACAAGTGGAATCACAGAACCTTTAGATCAGTGGTTCCCAACCTTATTTTGGTGATGCCCGCCCCCCTCTCCCCAAGCATCTCTAAAATACTGATGCCCCATTCCCGTGACATATATTTCTTACTATTTAAAAAGTGAGCTCCTATTCATGTGGAAGAAGCCTCAAAGGCCATTAAGTTGGCCTACACAAAATCTAAAGAATTACGACATCCATGAAAGAGGAAAAATAAAAGAACGAAAGGACAGTTGAAGTACCGCGGAGTAAATCACTAAGAAATTGTTAAAATAATAATAATAATAAGAAGAAGAAGAAAAGATGTGAAAAAAATAGCAAATAAAGTTTCAAGACATATAATAGAGAACTGAAATGCATAAAGATGTCACAATATATATATTTAATTACTGTATATGAGGCCTCTAAAACAATAATGCAAAAAAATCTACTGTTAATAGCTTATTCTCCAATTGCTCCCCTTAAAATTCAAATTGCCCCCCTGTGGGCATATGCTCCATGTTGCGAACCACTGCTTTAGAGTGAGTCTCAAGCTACATCCTCCCAGACTTTCCTTGCCTTTACTAAGGTGGCAATAGGTAATTTAAGCGTGGCTTCCTTTCTTCTGGGATGTGGGGTCCTCTCAGTTCATCTTCAGTGTTATCATGTCAACTCTGAGCAGAGCCCGGGCGCCCTCCCCTCTGCTACTCTGATGTGGACACCTCAATGCTCCCCGGGATTCTGGAGAAAAGGAACTGGAGGGGAGCCTCAGTGCACCTCCATATCAGGGGACACCCAGAGCTGAGAGCTTTGTGGCGTCCTTTGTGTCCTAAGTTCATTTGGATTCCCAGCTGTCAGTCAAGCTCCTTGTAAGGCTTCACACCATTTCCCTTCGGCTGACTTGTGGCTGGACCATCAGATTAAGGATCACACCTTTCTTAGTGAAGGGGGGGCGGGGCCAGGGCCCACCCAGGGTGGCCCAGTGGTTAAACATCAACCTAGGAACCAAGAGGATGCTGTTCAAATCCTGGTCAGGGCACAGGCCTGGAAAGTGGGCTTAATCTTCAGTGTGGGGCATGCAAGAGGCAGCCGCTCAGTGATTCTATCACATCCTTGATCCTTGATGTTTCTCTCTCTCTCCCTCTTCCTCACTGAAATCAATACATACATACATATTTAAAAAGATAAGTGAAGGGGGATCCATAATGTAAGGTGACCAGATGTCCTGGTTTTGGCAGGACAGTCCGGATTTTTAACAATTTTTCCCATGTCCCGTGGAGTTTGGGGACTTTTTAAAAACACCACGGGACATGGGACAAATTGTTAAAAATTGGGACTGTTCCGCCAAAAGCGGGATGTCTGCTCACCTTAGCATAATGATAGTCCTTCCCTGAGGGGCCTTGGGATGTGTTTTTGTTGTTGTTGTTTTTTAAATATATTTTATTGGTTTTTTACAGAGAGGAAGAGAGAGAGATAGAGAGTTAGAAAAATCAATGAGCGAGAGACATCGATCAGCTGCCTCTTGCACACCCCCTACTGGGGATGTGCCCGCAACCAAGGTACATGCCCTTGACCGGAATCGAACCAGGGACCTTTCAGTCCACAGGCCAACACTTTATCCACTGAACCAAACCGGTCTTGGCGGGATGTGGTTCTTGAAAGGCCTCTCAGGTTCCTCCATTGGATTACAAGGAGAGACCTCCTCACGGTAACAGCCAACCTATATGAGTCTCAGTAAGAGGAAATGAAGATCACCTTGTCTGACAGAAAGTGGTCTCCCGAGGGTGGGGACTGTGGAAAACAGTTTGAGGTTCTAGGAAACATGGTTCATTTTTTTACTCCCTCCACACAACGAAGTTTTATTGGTTTTTAGCAATGTGGATTAAAAGAAATTCAGATGATTTTAAAAGCAATTTGTTGATTCTGAAACATTTCAGAAATGATATTAGTGGATGATAATTCTTAACACCAAAGTCTTTAATGCCTAAAATAAAAACTTGGCAATATTATATAAGTCACTGGATTGCCATGAGGTGGAAATTGGACGCACGCTGAGGTCAGCATTTCTGCTCTGCCTGCCTGGAGCAGCACCCCTCTGATCAAGGCTCTCACTTGCCTGCTTAACCCTGAGTGAGGACTGATGACACTCCTGCCTGACATCTATCCTCGAGGTGTGCTAGAGCTGAAAACAGAGAGGACTCGGGCTCTTTTTTTTTAATTTGTTTTGTAAATCTTCATTGGGAGATAGTTTTGCCATTGATTTTTTAGAGTGGAAGGAGGGAGAGAAGAAAGAGAGAGAGAGCGCGCGCCTGAGTGCAAAGGAGCAAATGCGGGGGTAGGGGGGAGGGAGTTGGGGTGGTGGAGGCATTGACATGAGAGTAACACAGCGAATGGTTGCCTGGTTGCCTCTTGCATGAGCCAAACCGGCCAAGGGATCCACCTTCCACCTAGGTACCTGCCCATGACCTATGCCAACTCCAGGACAGGCCTACCATCTAACCAGGGGGCACACTGGCTAATAGCAGGGAGGATTCCTGGTGGCCCCACTGGCACAAGGGGGTGCATTCCCACAGCCCTCAGTGGCCTGTCCCTGAAACCTGGTAGGACACAAAATCCTCCCTCCGCTGACATGCAGCTGCCCCTTTGACCTGACCAGTCACCTCGCTGATGGGGCCCGGGAGGAAGCTAGTGTAAATCAACATGGCGACAGGCCCTAGCCCCCCAGGGGTGCCTCCCGCAGCCTCCCTCCGTGTGAAACCCCTGAATCCTGGCAGAGACTGGTTCCTCTCTGTGCCCTCCTCCAACAAACCGAGGCCTGGCCCGTGTGAGATACCACCTGCAGAACAAGGGCACGCAGAACAAGGGCACCGTGGCCCGCCAGCTCTGCTCCGGCTGCCATGATACTTTGGCGGGGTGACCACAGGAGGGGAGGCGGGGGCGCTCCCCGGAGCTGAGTGCAGGGCCTGCTGCCCCACGGGGCCCTTTCCCGGAGAGAGGGCTGCTCTGACCCCCGGCCTCCATCTTGAATCCCTTTGGGGCCTAGGATCGGCCTACTCCCAGCAAGGCCTCCCCGCGCCCCCGCCGCCTCCAACGCCTCGAGGCCGCATTCGGTCTCAGGGCTCACTGCAGGGAAGGGATTGGGGATCCACGCTCGATTGGGGGGTACGTGGCTTGTGTGGTTAGCACATAGGCCCTCACCTTCACTCGAAGCCAGTCCTGCGAAGCCCTTAGGCAGTCGCCACACCCGCGCACCTGCTGAAATGGCCTCGAAGCCCCAGGGGAAGTCGGTGGGGGCCTTTCTGGGGCAGGGTTGTCCAGGGCACGCCTGATGCCGGGAGCCTGAGGGATTAGGGTCCCTGAGCCCTCAGTCCTCACTCAGCCTCCCCACTTTTGTGTCTGCAGAGCTTGAATTCCTCCCTCTAGTGAAGCGGGTGGGCCTGGCCCCCACAAAGTCCTCCCTTCCCGAGACCCAGGGAGGCAGGCAGTGAGGACACCCTGCCTCTGAAGCAGGGCCTGAGCCTCATGGGCCGGAAGGGGGCGGAGCTACGGAGCCTCCATTTGTGAGAGACGTGCTCTCCCTTAGCACTGTGGGCCCTGGCCTTGAGGTGGTTTGTGGTGTGCAAGCCTCCAGCCTCTGTACGCCGGGCCTTGGATCCCTCTCTGAGACCACACGGGGGGGATGCATAGATTCCCTGTCTTCTGCGTCTCCCCGGGCTAAGCAGAGTGCCGGACCCTCCAGCCCCTTCTATTTTGGGGGTGCCCTCATTACACTCAGCATCTTCCATAGTTGCATTCTTCTTAAAGACACAGTCCCTTCCTCTGCGAAACAGAAACCGCCCCTGTTAGAGGCCCTGAGGTCCCTGAGGCCTCCCAGCCTCTGAGCAGCCTGACATGGCTGCCAGGCGCTCTGCAGGGAGGTCGGCAGAGGAGATATGTGAGACCTCCTCGTGCAGTGCGGGCTGCCCTTAGTCCCCATCAGGGCCCTCACTGTGAGAGCTGATCAGTCAGGTAACTCCGCCCTCTGCTCTCCTGACATCGCTCATCTTACATCACAGTCCCTCTCTGAGAATTCCACATTGGAGGCAGGGTTTAGCCATGGGATCATGGCCCTCCCTTCCAGGCCTCCAGGAAGAGCTCACAGGGACGCGTCCCTCTAGGACCTTACTGTCCCCGCTGAAACCTGCTGCTCCTCATTACAGCCTTCTCCATATCTACCAGCCTCGGACTCCTCCACTGCACGGAGGCCACCCTGCTTAGGTTTCTGCTTGGCCCCTCTACTTTGGCGTGCTTTTCTCTGCCCTCTTTC